ACACAAGTTGTGGGTTTTCATACCGTTGTCAGATCAGAAAACAGTTTTATTTTTGTGTTTAGTAACATTGTTAGAAAGAGTGACGTCGTCCTGGCGGCGTCAGATCAGAAAGAGCTTCTGTGTGTTGCTGTAGAGGTTGTGGTCAATTCATTTATTGTGTTGTTTAGTTTGGATGTGTACAATGCAGTGTCATACACAAACACAATTTGTGTTTTCTGTCTGTAACATCAACATTGTAATCATTTAGTCTAAACTCAAATCTAAAAATAATCTAATCAAATTGAAAGAAAAGGTTCTCATTTGTACAATTTCTATTCTCTTACAACAAGACATTTTCCAGGTTTTTTGCCGTGGATGTGATTTAGATTTTCATTCTGAGCACCTCTTGGACTTCTGAAACATATAGATACATGTTTTATACTTGTATATTGATGGAATAAATATATATAAAATAAATAATTTATAAATATCTAATTTAATCATAACTAAAGTCACATAATGTAAACTAAATTATTTGTGAGACTGGTACTTGTTTGTATTCTGCCTCAACACATGTAGACTGTCAAAGTTCCGCTCTTCGTTGAAATATTGCTGCTCCGCTGTGTCTCGTACCCAAGAGAAATAGTTTGGGAAAATCAAGTTTTGCTCTCATTGTATCCGAGCAAACTAACAAGAGCGGTCTGGAGATTAGCCCGTTATGAGACTCTGGAGTTTTGTTTTACAGCCTGCTAACTTTTCTACTGTACAACAGTCAATAAAAATAAACCGCCTGCAGTCCTAATGCATGAAAAATGCATGAAGGGGTACATCTTCAGCAGCTGCCACTGCATAGAAATGTTGTATACAAGTTTGAGAGAGGAGGTTATAGACACATAAACATTCTTTATGGGTACACGCAATGAAGTAAACTCTGGATGAACTACTATACAACAGTGAAACCTGTTGCTGTTATTAGTTTGCACAACATACACATTTTTAGTATTTATTTGCACTGTTTATTGCTAATGCAGCTTTACAGATGTGAAATATGATCAGTGTGCGAACTATACCATGGCTTCCAGGGGAGTTCACTTTTGTGTGTGTGTGGGTTGGAAAAAAACTTTCATGCAAAGAAACAAGTTGGAAACAGCAGCAGAAGCTTGTTGAGCTGGACGAACTGAATGAGAATCACTTGTCAGTTTTGTCAATTTACTCTAAATGGGACCATCATTTACCAGATGAACATCATGCTTTATGAAAGAAGACTTGAAACTAGAGATTGAGACCAGAAACTCATTAGGAAACTGTTTACTGAGCTCATAAATCAATTGAGAAGTCGGTTAATTTCTCCATAAGACTGCATGGTATCAGTTTTTATTGCAGTCAGTGGAGCTCCTGTTGGCCATTACAGAGAATTACCTTTAATGATTTCAGTAAAGGAACCGATGGACTGAGTGCCACAGACTCAGTAGGGAAGTATTGAGAGACAGACTAACAAATTGTTACGCCAACCTTCGTCCTAAATGCGGCAATTACAACAAATTAGATGTTCTTGTGTACTTGTGGAAGGCCTTGGCTGTGCTTCATTAGTTGTTTTATAGACATGGGAAGCAGGATGAGCTCACTGCCTACTGAGTCACCAGGACACCATGCTTCATGTTTTTTCATAAGCTTGTGCTGTTTACTGTTTTATTCTAATTTGATACATTTTTTATTTTTTTACGATTTTTTCTTTGGGCATTTTTACCTTTATCAGACAGTAAGAGGCAGACAGGAAATGTAGGGAGAAAAATGGGGGCAGTGGTGTGAAGACCACCTTTGTTGAGTCCAAGACTAGGACTAGTTGGGAGTCCAGAGAGATTCAAGTCCAAGTCAAGACTGAGACCAAATGAGAGAGACAAACTCAAGACCGAGACAGAGAAAAACATTCTCAAAAACTCTGTATTCATTTTTGTGTTTAAACCTCCAACCACTTGATAGTAGTGTTGTAAACGTAAAATAAGATTTTTTACCCATATTTTATGCATAATGATAGTGTGTTCTTTATATAGTGACGTAACAACACATTCTACTCATAATTCGATACAATTTGATTCAATACTGGGTTCACGGTAAAATGTTCTCACCATTTTTCCAACAAAATTAGATTTAAGATAAATTATGACTGAAAAAGAAATATATTTTCTCTTATATGTTTTTTTTATCAAATTATAGAATCATTTTTATTTCTGAGCTAAGGTATAAAATGTGCAATACAATGCATAAGTCTTTTTCATCTCACCCATTTGAA